GTGTGTGTGTGTGTGTGTTTGTGTATATTCTGTCCAGGCATGTCAGAACTCAAACCATTCACCCAGGAGCTGCACCAACTGGCAGGTAATGTGAGGGGCCAGTCAAGAGAAATACAAACATGGAAACTCTAACAAGGAATCTTTGCCTTAATATAATCATGTCATGTGAAAAAAAAAATCTCAAAGCTCTGCATTCAGATCTGGTGCGTTACACGATGCTCAGTCTCAAAAACTACAGTGTGAGAGTTACCTCGATGATATAGAGGACGATGTTCTTGTAGAAGCAGTACAGGATACACTTGGCTACACGGTTGTAATTCCAGGCTCCGTGGACGAGCAGCAGATTCTTCAAGTATTTGAACTGTGTGGGAGGGAAGAAAAAAGGACAAGATGAATGAATAGTCGAAGTCTGTGTACAGTACGCTGGCTAATGGCTGCTTATAATCAGAGATCAGTGCTGGAACACTAAAGCAGTTGCTGGCACTTCAAGATTAAAGCAAGCAGCAGTCTTTTGTCATCGCCCAACAGAGGGTTAAAAGACTGATGGGATATTGTGGTCAAAGCTCTCACTAAGACATTCCAGAAATTTCTACAAAAAGATTTCTAAGGCCGAGCTTTGAATCGCTGAAAATGGAGGAGTTCTTACGGCTGTATTGGTCTCGGAGGGCTCAGAATAATAGTTAAATGGATTTATAATTACGCCGCCTTTTAGAGCCTGTGGTGAACTTACGATTCCAGCACAGTTTCTGGCTGATAAGTGTGATTACAGTGGAGCAGAACTCCGAGGCAAGTGCTTCGTCTTAGTTGTCAGTGCGTGACTAAAACAAAGAACATGCACACCACAGACTGTTGGTATTTGACAAAGGAAAATGTGGAGTAGGAGATAGGAGGAGTTTGGTTTGAACAATAAGACAATATCAACAATTATTGCAATATTATTTTCATTAATAGCACTACGACAAAGGTCCAATATATATCAACATATTGCTTATCCTTTATGCAAGCACAGTGAGGAGTTATTACGAATAATTGATCTACCTCAGATCTACCGTTTATCAAGTGTTTGTCATTCTCTTCTCATAAAGAAAAGTTTAAAAACCACAAACGTCACTCAGGAGCTGAATAACTCTTGATACTTAAAAGAAACCCCAGTGCCATGCTTGTTTTAAAGATGCCTCCTTAGAAAGGGCTGTTTGTTTGGTCTGCGGTGATGCTGGTTGCAGCTTTCTTTCTGAAACTGTAAAACTTAGCTGCTGCAAAAAGTCAGCAAAAAAAGACAGACTGCAGGACTCAGCCCATAGAGCCCTGAAGCTGCACCATGGCTGCTGCAAAAAGAGCTGTTCATTTGTTTATTCAAAGTCTGGTGGAGCCCAACTAAGAACGTAAAACCCTGCTCTGGAGAATCAGTTGTTATTGCCTTTCATGTAAACACGTCCATGGTTGTGAACATGCTTTTGTTGTGATCAACAATGTCACTTATATTGTCGCCTGTTTATTCAAAGTTTATTAATATTGAACGTTATGTGAGTCCAAGATGTACCAACTTCAACACAACCCTTTCGTTGGGCCCTTAATATTAAGACTGCCAAGTGTGAAGTACATAAGATGAACAGTTGCTGACATATGCAAGCCACATACAGACAGACACATCTCTGGAATTAGTAGAAGTACATAGATCATAATGTGACATTTATCTCAATAGTTATCAATATCAACAAGTATAAAACATTTCATCTTGATATTTTTGACCTTATCGTCTTGCCTTAGGACGAATAGATTTAAACTTACAGTTTTTGAGAGAAACATAATTTTGTTAATTTGAAAAAGAGCTTGTCTTTCAGTAGCACTGCCATGTCCTTTAGTAGAATGAAGGCACAGTGGCAGCACCCGGTTTGTCTGACCCCTCCACTGGTCGGTTCAAACATCAGTTAACACTGACCACTGCTGATGACAGATGGCCAGCAGAGGTGCCTCAGCCCAGAGCCTCTTTAACGACCTCTTGCTTTAACAGATAACTCAGAGCTTTCAAGTCTTAAATCTTAGAAACTAGCTCCCTAATAATCTACAACAGCAAAGAGCTCATCTGGTTCTCAGCATTAATAAATCACGTATGGGAACGTTACACAACTTCTCAGGATTGATTTCAGTTTGCAGTCTGCAAATTACAGTTAATGTACCGTTACGCCAATATATGGAAAACACCACTGGAAGTCTGGAGGTGTAATTCGATTTGATGCGGGAACACAACCTAAATGGATTACAAGAGGCCACCTGTCTTTAAGAGACGTGCACGTTCTTCATGTCGTGTGGACTGAAGGGTGCACTTAAGACAAACCAGAGTCTCCTGAATGGTAATTGCATACTTCGGCGTGGGGAGTGTACTGTGTTGTAGTCAAGTATTGGTTTCCCATGTTCTAAAAACCCTGTGGCCGTAACACAAACATGATGTACTGAGTGGCGTGCCGTGTAGAAACAGAGCATGTTACAGGATTATTGTTGCTTATCAGTATCACATATCACTACAGAGTTTCAGACAAACTGGTTACTAGGACATAAGCATGTTTAAGTAGCTCTCTGCTTGGATCTCTTTCTAAAGACTTATGTCAGGAGTTGGGTGTCAGCAGATGCCTGTTCTACAGGTGTTACTACTTGGCTGTATAAGCTTAATGCCCTGGCAGACACGAGATCTTTTGTCACTCAGAACAATGTGCCAGGCTATCACTAACACATATTACATTTGAGAAGACAATGAACGGACTGACAGTGTGAGGAATGTTGCTTTGAGCTGAAAGAAATGGGCATGATGGGTATCAGTGAATCACAGGCTTCAAACCAAACAAGTTCAAATCAGATTTAAACATTGAAAGTTCTGGTGTTGTGGTATGAATTTTTTAAAATTTACTTTACATTAAGTGTCAGTGGATGAAAATATTTAATCCACCTTAAACAACTCCTTACAGATTTAGATAGTGTTCTGTTAATGTCGTTCTTTAAGCAGTTAATCAATCAAACTGTAAGATTTTGTACTGACGTAACTTTCTCTGACCCTTTTGGACCACAAATGAGAATGCATCAGCTACTCACGCCTGTCAAAATTACTTTAAAAATCTTGTTTCACCGTCAAAATTATAAAATAAATTCCCCCACATCAAATACATATGTATTTACCGCATCATTTTATAGATATTTTATATCCGTTGGTGCAAGCGCCTGGCATCTTACTCACCTGGGCGATAGAGTAGTCAGAGGAGTTTGCTGCCTGCAGACCCTCGTTGCCTGAGATTCCCACACCAACATGAGCTGTCTGGATCATTCCCACATCGTTAGCGCCGTCACCAATGGCCAGTGTGATCACCTTTACCTTTTTCTTGACCATCTCCACCACCTCTGACTTCTGAAGAGGAGATACCCTAAAAAAAGAGAGTCGTAGCACAGGGAATATTAAGAACAGAATGGACCTCTGCATGTGTGCTGTCTTCACAATCAAACTCCTCAGTCTTTAACTTGTTTCATCTGTATTCAGATGTCTTCACCATCAGTTCTGCCATTCTCATTCCATCTTTTAATGGTGATTTTCAGTGACTTAAAAACGTTCTTGTATCCATCGCTATTCTTGGAGTTGTGTTCCCTCGTCATCATCCACCAACTATACCACAACAAGTTTTAACCCTTTTACTACACTCTCTGAAAACCTTCCACTTGACAGGTGGTTTCCATTTAACTAACCATGGGACTTGTAAACACAACTGCCTGCACTTGTGATGATTTAGGAGAGTCATATTAAAGGGGCAGAAATATTGTGTAGAGTTGATAGCGACTGAACTGTATGAACTGGGGAATTGCCACAACAAAATCTACTCATACTCTGAGAGATGACTTCTCTTTGTCTCTCCCTCCTCACAGAGATCCTACTAGACCTTTAAGCAGAGTCACAATGTTGGCTGAGGTGTCGCATAACTTTTTTTTAATAAGACTTCTAACTTGACTTTCTACCAAATAGGTACATTTAGTCAAAATTAACCGCCCCAGGCCAACTGAAATTTCAATGAGTTGAAGAGGGGGAGTTTAAACCTTTTTATGATTTGATAAAAAAAAAAATTGTACCATGTAAAATGTAAGACGATTAGGAGGTAAAATGGATTAAAATAAATAAACAAATGCACATATTTAAAATATTCATTTGTGCAGTTGTTCTGATTAAATGCTTTGGTGCATGTAAACACCAGACCCTCTTCAATCCCATCCCATGTACACAGTTGACCTGAAACCTTCATGTAAGCAGCTCCTGACAGCAGAGGCCGCAGCCACGCAGGAGCCTCCTGTTTGTGCACTAAAATGTGGGACATTTACAGTACAGACAGCCTCTTGGGACAATGTTGATAACTGCACGACTGTCTTTAGCTGTGAAACTGTTAATGTTTATCTTCTCTGTGGTTTAAAAAGCGTTATTCATCTCCGAGTCTTTCTCAGTAGCCATTGTTTGTGCACAGGGTAAACGCTGGTAGACGTGAAGGAGGGGGAGAAAATAAATAAAAAATTAGAGTCATAGTGTGGCAACTGAAACTTCAATGTTATTCTGAAAACATGGTTTCTGACTTCTGGCCCCAGACCCCGTCATGGTTGCTTGAGTAAGCACTTCTTATTATTTATGCGGCCCGGGCAAGTCAACAGTGAGTGTACCTTCATGATGTTGAAAGTTACCATTTAAATTCATAACTATCCCACTCTTTAAACCGCTGCCATAAAAACCATAGTTGACCTTTGCAGCAAAGACATTATATTTTATAGTTCAACCATATAGCTTTTAAACTCATTTAAAACCTTAAACCCATTTCCAGCTTCTCACCGAAAATGAGATTTTGCTGCTTTTCTGTTTCATGCCATCGTATTAACACCCTCTGGTTTCGGGTGATGACATTGGTCTCTGAGGTTGTGTGATTGACATTTTTTTACAATTGACTGACATCTTAAAGACGACTAATTCAATGTATTGATCATTTGTTGCAAGCCTGCTTGAGTGTCTGGTTGGCTCTGACTTTCCTTTGTCGTTTTAGCTGTTTTTCAAGACCACTCATGACATTTCTGCATTAGTTTTGTTCAACTGTGATGGTCAAGGAATTTAAACATTTTTTTTTTTTTTTTTGTAAAAACATGTAGTGTTGAGTTTTTCAAACCTACAAAAAAGATTCTGAAAGCAACAAGAACACTGTCTTTGTTATTTCACTGGTAAGTGGAATGGTTGTTTGAGGTTTATTTGAATTCAATCTTACCTGCAGCATATGACAGCTTTACAGGAGAGGGCGAGGTCCAGGAAGTACTGTTGCACTCCGAACGAAAGGGCGTATTTCAGGGTCTTCCCATCAATAATGAGAGCAAAGTCATTTTCCTTGTAGAGGGCATCTCCCAGCATTCCACAGTGGTGGCTGAGTATTTCCCTTGTTCCCTGTGTAATGGAAAACATTTCATTAGATTTCATTTTTTAGTTATTATGCTTTCAAGCTTATAGATTTTTTTTTAATCAAATAATTCATGGATCTGGATGAAAAGAACCTGGCATATTTAGGCGACTGATATTTGTTTGTCTTGATTGGATTTAGGGGACTTAAATTGTCCTTTTAAATATATATTTATTCAGGTCTAATAATAAAACACCATTTGTACAGGAGTTACACTGATTGGCTTCAATACTTGTGTTACTACAATTTGCAGCGCAACATGAAGAATTGCATAGTGACATTTACATTAAAAGGATATTATTACATCAAAACACTTAAGTTCATTAATATCTAATCAGAAAGTCATTATCTTGGCTCCAAAGTGTTCATCTAGTTTAAAATAACATTAGTTTTAAACAGATGAGACAGATCTGTCCAATTAAATTCCCCAAATGCAGCAGAGCAGCTGCTCTTGATATTTTATATATTTATCCTATTTCCCATGATTCTTACAGTCAGACCTCGGCCACGAGGTGATATCATAGTCGTGCTCTGCAAATGTATAGTGTTTGCTTATACACTGCATACAGCTATGACGATGATTGATGATGAAAATCTATAAATATGAAACTGACAGACGGATTAAGTGTCCTGGTGAGATCATCATCATTGTATTCATCATTCAGTCATCTTCTCCACAGATGGTGAAGCCATTAGACAACAAAACCAATTTCTGTATGGAAATATTTTCTGAGGGATATGCGGATGAGGTAGATGTATATTTTCCTTTAAAATTAAAACTCATTCTCAAGAGAAGCACTTGAAATAATGTTTATATTGTTGCCATGGCAATATTCAGCAAATGTAGCGGTACAAATGATTCAATACCTCCATGAATAATTCAGTACAAACTGATGATTTCCCAATATTAAAGCTTTCTAAAGGAGAGGAGAAATAGGAAGTTTAGGGCTTGAATTACTTAAAAAGTGAGAGAGACAGATTTGAACGAGCAGACACGATGACGGGTATCAAACATAATGCGCCAAGCAGATGCTCAAACAGCTGTAATCATTAAAAAAATGGCGGTCATTAACACAATTGGTGGAGGGAGGGGGTAGAGCCTGGCGTAGAGGTCAGATATGTCAAAGCATTTACATCGTACCAGGGGACCATGCTATATTCGCTTGGCATAACAAAACTTTGAAACCCCAGCTTAAAGGAAATATTTGGAGAAAGAGGCTTTACGTTTCACAAAGCGAGAGATGGAGAATGAGAGACATGCAAAGAAAGAGATGATGGATTAACAGAGGAGAGAAACCGAGCAAGAGGATACAAGCAGAAAGCAGCTGCGACGACTTAGCCATCCCTGATGGAGTGTGTAAAACAGCACGAGATGGTGAGCAGCAGACAGGCCAGTACGACACTGTGTGTGTGTGTGGTCCAGGTATTACTCATGTTGTGAGGACCTAAAACTGTTTACACTGTGACATTATGGCGAGAAACTCCTCATAGAGTAAATTATAAAGTGTTGAGGTGAAAACATGGTTTAAGGTTATGGTGAGGTTATATTTAAGTTAAGGGTTTGGGTCAAGCAAGTCGCGGTTATGGTTGAAGTCTTCAGGAAGTTAAGGTAAATCAATATAATGTCTTGTGTCATGGAAATATGAGTGTGTGTGTGTGTGTGTGTGTTAACAAAGGTCAGAGTAGGTCAAAGTTGATGTCTATATTCAACCACAAGCCACTCTATCTCAGATAGATGACATCTTAGTGTGTGTTTGTGTGTGTGTGTGTGTGTGTGTGTGTGTGTGTGTGTGTGTGTGTGTGTGTATGTGTGTGAGAGAGCTTGTGTATTTAATGCATGAGAAAGGATTCCCTCTGTTTGAGGCACAATCTATTAATCACATACTGTGATAAGCTGAGTTTACCATATCATCAAGTAGAGCGGCCATTTCCCCCCCAATTTCCACTGAGGAATTTTAGCGCTAATGCTACACGTCTCGTCCTAAAACCTTTTTTGTTATGGCTATAATGACCAGTTCAGCCTATGTGACGAGCTAGTGTTTGGTTTTGGAGTGGGTATGTGGCGTCCATTCAGAAAATCCACAAGAGCTTTCCCATAAAGACTGAGCTCCATTGTTGATATAGGCCTTGAGTGATATAGCCAACAGGACGTGACACTCATGATGTGGAATCTGGACATTTGTATGAACATAGTGTCATCATCTGTCTTGGACTCTGAGGATGTTCCATCATACAGTTGGAAGCATGTGGACATGAACTTGTTTTCCATTACATCTCATTGAAAACATTCAAAAGCATCAAAAGTTAAAAATCTGTGATTGTGTTTAGTCTGAATAGTTAGTTTGAATAGGATTTCTGTATGAATCTGTTTTTCACGGTTTTATTGTAATAAAAAAAAGGTAAGCAACCATTTTTATAGAAATAAGTGACGTAAGAATACAAAAAATGAGGCATAATTTATGTGACTGTGCTGATGATTAATATAGTAATCCTCATTAATTGCTGTTAGTTCTCTAAATGATTAAACACACAGAATGTAAGACAAAGCTTTTTAAAATGACCTAATCCTCCCTCTGGAGGCTGAGTTTCACTTTGGGAGTTTCAGTTCAAGTAAGATTTAGTACAGGGGATGCCGAAAACTGTGTCCTCCCTTTGATAACTATTTCTAAACACAGCAAAGAGGGAAGACATGCTCCAATTACTCTGTTTCGTAGCATGAGAGCGCTCAGAATTACCAGCGCTGCTGCCTGGTCCTCTGTTCCCTGTGCCGCCTTCGTCCTGGTGGAGTTTTCTCCCTCCACCTTTTAACAAACTGCCTTATGTAAGCATCTGCTCAACCACAGGAGAATGGGAGCTGACATTTCAAAGCGCCGGTTCATGTTCTTTATGAATGCACCGACCCCGAATTTCTACCTCAACTCTATTTATCAAGCTTAACGACTGGCTGACAGAGTGAAGGCCATCCGTCATCAACTCTGACCACCCCCTGCTGCTTTCTCCTGCTTAATTCACTTCTTCTCGCCATTTCCCCCCTTTCTTGCCCGACAAACTAAACCCAGTCGAGTTTCTCTTCCATCTGCGGTTCCTCTGCTCAGTTTTTCCCCCTGATGGAGGTGCAGGGACTCGCCCTTTTCAATCTTAGAAACAACAGACAAGGCTCTCCTGCCGGGGGGTCAACAGACTTCTCTGCTGGGTGTCTTAAAGATGTTGACGGCAGATTTGGGATGTGTGTTGGCTCAGTGTGAGTGTGTGAGCGTGTGTTTGTGTGTCTGTGAGTGTATAAGGCTCCCTGTGGCCATATCTATTCAGTTTCTAAACGGGGATTAGGCAAGGAGATGAGGGGATTATTATTCTCATGAGTGACCCCACTCTACATTTTTGCCTTAAATATCACAGTAACAATTATGTGAAAATATTTGTCATCAAGTCTGTTGATGCTTTCACACATGCACTTAACTTTGAACATTTTCCTGAAATTTTCCGGAGAGGCTGTGAGTGATGTCCGTGTTGATCACTCCTTACATTTTTTCAGAATATTTCCTGCCAGCCTCCTGGTAAAATATGGATATTTTAATGCCGGAAAACAGCTTTAGATGTTCACTATGAGATCTTTGAAAGAAGTTTTACTATAAATGTACTTTTAGTAGAGTTGTTTTCCGTTTACTTGACCTGTGATCGTGATTAAATTAAAAAATGTTTTATACAGCACCTTTTATTAGGTTATTAACATAGATGATATACTTCATATCTAGTTGTAAGCTACAGGCTGTGCGTATGATCTAAATCATATTTAGGCTAGTTAGTTTGTTTCTCACTATTGAAAGGTGAGAACAGTGGTGAGCTTTATGTGCTTTGGCTAGGTAGTTAGTATTTAAGGTTGTAAGTCAGATCATTAAAGAAGAAAAATGCTAAATACTCACATCAAGAGTGTCTTCATTGATCACAAGCATTCCCATGTTCTTCGTCAGCAGCTTGCAGGAATGTCCTGCAGTGAAAAAGAGAAAAACAGAGGATGACACATCAGGTTGTAGAGAGGAAGTGTATCAGATTTACAAAACACTGGACATTTAGCCTGTAGACAGGAAGAAAATATTTGAATTCCACTAAACAACTCTTCAGTTACTACATCGAATTGTAGTTTACTTTAGTTTGAATAATTCCCTGTAGCTGTCCACGTCTCAAACAGAGAGGACCCAAACAGAGAAACACAGACAAACAGACAAACAGACTCAGAGACATACAACAAAAAGTAAAAGAATAAACATGATCAAATATATAAGGGATACTTCAGGATGCAGCAATACATTTTAAGGCATTCTAATTAAAATGTTACAGCTCAGAGCTCAGTGTCTCGGGACATGACTAATGAGTTTGGTTTACAAGGGTTTGTCAGTTTCCTGTTTTAATAGGCAGCCACAACTCTGAGTTACCCAACATGGCTCTCTGGGGAGCGTTCCCCTCAGCTCTTGGCTGGGACAGATGCTCAGGGTCACCAGCAAGGTGGTAGAGCGAGCCGCTCATTGGGGAAAACAAAAATGTTTCTCAAACCAGGACTGAAGCCTTCAGTTTCAAACCGTGGCTGCATGAAAAAGCTGCCGTCTGTGGCATAACCACATGAATATTTGTGGGCTTCAACACTTTGCTTCTGTCTGGAAAGAGATTTTTTTGTTTCTTTAAGGTGGTTACCAGAAAGTCTGTGTTCTGTGAATATATGGGTGGTATTTTCTGTGAATTAAACTAAGATAAGATTATGCACAAAACACACAGCACCACTCAGACTGAGTTGTACACACAGTACACACACACCGAGGGGGCGTTGCATGAGGAAGTGAGTAGGTTTCACCCCCAGCGTCAAAACCAAACAGAGTTGGGGTCTGGCAGATTGTTTTCTTAAGTGTAAAGGTGCAAAAGTCCAAAAGTTGGCCGATGTGTGGAAAATGTCTCCCCATCTGAACACTGTCTTTACCCCTTCCCCCTGCCACAGCCCTTCCGCTTAATGTGTTTACCTTAAGCTCATTTGACTGCAGCCAAACTGCCCCTTTTTTATTTCACCAGAGAAAGTTGAATTCCTGGCCATTCTCCACCTCAGGCGGAACTAAACACTGCTCCCACAGGAAATGAGGAATGTGTAATCACGACACTTGTGTCACTGGACGTTTCCTCGCAAGCAACAATTGAAAAGTACAAATTCTATAGCCATAGAAGACGATTTAAATGGAGTGCACATTGGGCTCTATTTTAACGATCTTAGTGCACAAGCACATTTAGGACTTGTCAAATTCTACTTTTGCTAATTTAATACGAGTCATAAAATTTGCTGTGCTTGGCACATGCTTCAAATGATCATGTTTGGGAGTTGAGAGTGCATATCTCATTCCCTTTGAAAGTGTTTTTATCGCCACCTGGTGGCTGGCTGCAGTATCGGCCATAAATCCCAGCTCGTCCATGTTAATGTATGGGACATTGAAGAAACTTAAGTCTAATCAAATACTTGTCGAATAAAATTTCTGCGGCTACATCCCCTGACTGCTACAGCACAAGACAACAGCAGTCAAATCTGGGATATTAAGGTTTCAGTTCTGGATAAGGGGAGGACATTGAGACCTGTCGTCCATCTTAATACACAGTCTACGCTGTGTAACAAGCAGCTATAAAGGTCCTTTTACTATCTTAAAAATGCTCCCTCAAAATAACATTAATGTAGTTTGGGAAGATAGGTTATAACATAGTTGTCGGCAGATAAGGAGTTGGATTTACTCTTTCACTTATCACTGCTTAAAGGAGTCGATGTATCCTCTGGCCAAAATCAACATGTTATTTGTGTGCTTCTCCTAAGTCATACCTCCAGGAAAGTGAGTCGCTAACAAGTTTACCAGCAGACACTGTCCTTTCATTGAGTTCTGGCTCATACCTGTCCTGAGCATTACGTACGCATAACTCCCCTCAAACAGCTCATAGCACTGGGAGCATGTCCCAGAGCAAACATTGCTCTTTCCTGCGGCAGCCAGACATGTGGTGTCAGAGTAGGTACTGTACATTGTGTCATGATGGTTCAGGATTAAAGACAACAGACTGAAACAATAACAGACTTTACAGCATCAGATCAGACTGACTTTCCATACTTCAGTTTCATAAATACAGTATGTGTTATGTGCCAAGAATTCGTCATTCTGTGCCAAGTTCAGCATCTGGGTGGTTCAGGCCACCATGAAATTGAAGTAAGATCTTAATATGATCGGCTGAATTCACCAGTTCAATGTGTCAAAACGGTGCACCATTAACCCTGGAAATGGTGGATCATCTTTCAGTGAGGAAAACAGTAAAAAACAATGTCAATATTTAAGGCAGATTTTACTGAGAAACTCTGTCAAATGGTGGACTTGTAAAAATACTTGCAGTGAGCCTGTGCTTCTGCAGAGCCTCCTCACATCTGGGCACAGTGGGCACAAAGGGCTGATTCAGTCAGGCCACAGTGGTAGGTATAAGCCACAAGTGGAGGCACCTTTATATCTATTTTTCTAAAATCTATGTTGTGAATTTAGCTGTTTTCAACATTGACCTATGGTGGTAATTAGCCAGATCTAAGAAGAGATATAATAAAGAAATAAAAACTAAACTGGTGGTACAGAATTAGTCTTTCACCTCTCTGATAACATCTGCAGGGTTAGAGCCCCTCAGAGAACCGGATACGTGAGAGGTGCCTGCTTGTGTACATACGCATGTTATGTTTTTCATGTCAGTGCAACTTGCTCATACATCATCTTGCATTCTACGACAGATGCTTTTGCTAGATATGTGTGACAGACAAGCACTCAACTTGTCAGTAGTTTGTCTCGCTGGGTGAAGAATGACCAGAGGACTGACTGGAATACCTGTCACACACTCAAGGACAATCTATCACAGCACGGATCAGGTTTACCAGGGACTTTTCATTTGGTTTTGCGCAAACACAGGTCTTGAGTGTGTCATTACACATACACACACAAGTTTATTGGGAAAATGAGGTGCAAATGCTTAATAATGATTTTATATTAACAGGAAACTCCACCACTTTTACACAAGTTTAGTTTAGTGGTCTTAAATTGTTGTACAATGTCGTCTGTGACTTCCTACTATAAGATTGATGATGCCTTTAGTGTTCTCTCACTCCACTGATTTAACATTAAACATCACGTCTGTTTACAGGTCTTGAGGATTATGACTATAATGGCTCTGTATGTGTGATTAAAGTTGTTTTAAATCTGTCTGTGGCTCTGGAGGGAGCTTTGTAAAGTAGAGGCTTCTGCCTTGTTCTCACATGATTTTTAGACCAGTTTTCCATTTGTTGACAAATTTTGGAAGTTGCCAACAAAAGCCCCAAATCTGAGCCAAGTGTTCGATCAGTGGTCACCATTGACTACATGTAAACTAAAAGACGCAATAAGAGAGGCTCGCCAACACCTCGGCGACTACAACTACAGCCAATCAGAGCTGACCAGAGCTCTCCTGGTGAAAGATCATGTGGTGTGAGACTCCCTCTCGCCAGGCAGTCAACGACTTTGAAATTTGTGTGGTCTCAACTCTAATGTCATGAATATCACTTGAATCAGAGTTGGTTTGGGCAGAAGTTCACAAGTATGAATATGATTAAAGACCTCTGACTCTAATCATCTCTGCTAGAGCCTGGAAGCCCATGCAGCATTAGCTACAACTCGTATAACACACTTGAATCTCAGGGCCAAACAGTCAAGTTGCATTATGGGCAAATCACGCACCAGGTTTTGACAAAGAAGACGAACTGACTGACTGACTGTCTTGAGCTCAGCAGTGTTTTATTTTTGCAGAAAGTCTGCATGGCAAGTTTAGGGTTTCTGCTCAGAACAGTATCATGTATCTGCAGCCTCACATGGTCCCTTGCGAGTTTCAGCCATTGTTGCATTTACAAAACAATGGATTATAATCGTCCCTCTGAGAAACGTGACTATCTTTATTAACTCAAGCCCACTGTGTGATGGTATGGAGGCTCATCTGTCAGTATCAACACCACAAGTTCATCTGCATTCCCAGCATCTGGCCGCTGTGTGACAGCTGAGTGGAGCACTGAGCTTAAACAAGTGTATTATTGTTGGTATTGCCTCCAATAATTCTGATGATAAAACAGACGCACGACAGTTAATATAATACAGAGACTAAACATATTACTGTTCCTACTCACCAATATTGATGGCTGTTTCCTGTTTGTCCCCAGTCAGGATCCAGATCTTGATGTCAGCCTTCATCAGAGTCTCTATAGTCTCGGGCACTTTATCCTGGAGCTTGTCCTCAATCGCCGTGGCCCCCAGGAGCTGCAGGTTCTGCACCAGAAAAAAAAAACAAGTCAGTGAGTGGTGACCATAACAGAGGAAGGCCTTTAAAACGTCATGTGTCAGAGAAACATGTGAACCAGGATTGTGTCACTCATTCACTCATGTCCCCCCCCCCCCCCCCCATCAGCTGCTCTTGTTCATCACCCAGAAAAAAAAACTCCACAGGCTTAAGGGGTTTTGGATCAGTTAACGTGCCCTTACATATGTGTGTGTGTGTGCGTGTGTGTGTGTGTAGCTGTGGACAAAACCCTCCCACACAAGCGCACCCACAAAATACAGTTGGTGTTTTTCCCAGGAAACTCAGCGGTTCGTTGGGGCTGGTTGTGGCCTCCCATTGGCCCATCACGGGGCCAGAGATTTGACAAGACCCAGGGGTGGAGGGGAGACGGGAGCCAGCAGCAAAAGGAAAGGCAGGGGAAGCTCTTTAAGTTGTGACCTGAGCCCTGCTGCCTGTACGTCTGTAGCTCTGTCCTCTCTAATCATTGAGAACCACACAGCATGGAAAAATGTGCCTGGGGAAGAACATGAGCTATATCTGATGACCCCCTTATTCGCTGTTTGCTGGATGTGAATTGTTCTATTGTTCCTATTGTTGTTAGAGGCAGTTTTTGTGGATTATGATAAAAAAAAAACACTTGGATCAGGATTTCAAGCCCAGAGCCAAGGTGGACCGATAACATCGGTGACTACCCTAATAGTGGTAGACTTGTGTTGGTAGGTAAAACACAATTTCAGTTTAGTTTCTCTGTTTCTAATAGAAAAGAAGACTTGTTACAACTTTGCAAACAGAGGCTGGAGTATAGGAGACTACAGAACTGCTAGTTTCTATCTGCTGCATTTAACACTGCTCTTCTGATTGTTCTAAAAAAAAACTGTCCAGTTACAGCTCATTGACTGAGGTATAGTGAAAGTCCAGTCCAGACATAATCCATTCAAGCTTCAACAATCAACAATCAGTCAAGTTAATGAGAAACTTTCCCTTCAAAGACTGGAGTAGTTTACTTTACATGTACCTACGCCAAATTAAAACATAGTAATATGAGGTCAGGAAACCCACAGTCACTTTTTAAAGATTGACGAGGGGATATGATTCACCAACCGACTATGTTAAACCAGCCTAAAGTAAAAACAGGGATTCTGTAGGTTTTAATAAGTTGAATTTAAAACCATAATAAATTCAACTTATACCCATTTCATCTACAACAAATATGCCATGGTCCCGGAATTACTTTCCAATAACTGAAGATTAGGTGAAGAAAAAGGCCCTTTATATTTAAATACTTTATATTTACATCGATGGGGGCCTCTCTACGGAGGCTGCCGTGTCTTTGACTGGACAAACTAAACACCTTTTGAGTTTATATGACCACTAAAGGCTACCACAGTTTCTTTTTCTTGTTTGGAAGGGGAGGGTGAGGTGAAAATTCTACACACTGTACCTTTAAGCACAGTGGAAGTGGCGTTAAATGAAGAACTTCATGAATGTATTTAAGACCTTGTGCGTAATATTTTAACAAATTGACTTTTTAAGGCCTAAAATTCAGATTATTACATTTGAGACTTTTTTAAGACCCTGTACAAACCCTGTAAAAGCAATGGAACTTGTTAAGATATTTTGTTTGAGAATTAAAAGATATAAATGAAACAGCTTTTACAAAATACAACAAAAAAGGAATAAAGATGTTATTTTAAATGATCAGCTAGTTCCTATCATGGCTGCACAATCTGAAATGTATCACATTTCTATACAATAAATAATCAAACATTAGTTACTTTAGATGAATGCAAATTTTCCTGCAGCTCCATTGTGCCCCCCTGTGGTGTTATCGTGTGCATTTTTAAGTATGAGCTGCCCTGAGGAGCGACGCGCCCTGAAACCCCCGACAGCATCAGTGCCACACTCTGCCCATTAAGTACCGCACATTACATTAACCTCTGTGAAAGCTTTTGCGTTTGTTTCATGATTGATTGCCTCCATTTGTTTTGGACGACCAGGAGCGGCCATGAACATGCCAAGTGCTTGATTTACGACTGCGGCTTCCTGTGTTTGACTTGTGCTTCCACATAGACCCACCTCACAGAAAAACAAACCTACCTGCTGCTCAAAGCTGGAATCTCTCACACAAATAAGCACATATTTTTGTGAAGTTTTACAGCTTTCCAGGTTTGATTACACAACAATTTTAATTAAAAGAGGTCGTTTTAAGTTTATTTTGCTCACAGATGGCTATAAAGTACGTTATAAAGATGTATACAAAGTAAGATGTGAACGAAGTAAAGACTGCATGCAGCTACAAATAAAAAGTGCATAATGTCACAAAGCTTATCTACTGTGTACTAAGCTCATTTTATAGGTCTGTAAAATATAGATCATAGTATTTCTCTTTACAAACCTTCTCTATCAGTTCATAGCTCTCTTCCATTTTGAGGCCTCTGTTCTGCAGGGAGGTGCTGGCTCTGTTGTGGATCTCCAGCCAATGCTGATAGGTTGACTCACTGATATCAGCCACCGCGAAGCAGAGAGTGCGAAGCCCTGGATGAAGGAAACAGCATCAGGTCAACTGTCTATTTCAAAACCTTGATGTCTAACTGGATGAAGCAGATGTCAAACATGTCAGTCAGATCTGTGTCACTCTCCAACATATACACACTATATACACAAATTAATAAATGTGTTTTTATTGTGCATATCCTCACTTTCTGAAAGAAACAACTGTTTTTTCCATTTTTAGTCTTGTTGTTAGCTGAGGCTAAAAGTTGTAATTTATTATTCAGGCCTCTTCAAATGACTGTGACTGCAGATCTTCACAATCTGTCCTGGATGCTATATTTAGCTTCTATCAACTATTCCCAATGACATCATTTTACATGTCTCACAGGGGGGCAGTATGGACACAGAAAAAGGAAGACTGATGCAGTTTCTTCTAGCTCCACTGCCTCAGATTAATATTCCTTCAGTTCACATTCAGACTGTAAGGACATATGAGGCCAAGCTGAGGAAACAGAACCTTCTTCTGCTGCAATTGGCGACAAAGTGGTGATGAGGTAAGGAAAGAAATGGTGGAGTGCAGACATAAAAGACATTTTACTTTTAGCAGACAGGGGGCGATGTTATTCCACTCACCCTCAGTGGCAAACTGTTCCAGGTGCTTCAACGTGATCTCTTTGTACCTGGAGCTGTCTGCCAGTCGGTCATAGATCACTGTGTCCTGGGCAGAAACAAACACTCACTGGTTACTGACGACCACAAAGGAAAGTGAAGAACCTCCAAAACAAATACTGTGAGTTAGACTTTATGTTTCTCCTCAGAAAAGTAGTTCCAGTGGCCTGAATTATACAACACATGTATCTGAATCCTGGGATGGTGGAATCATTCTGAGAAATGGGTTATAATATCAAAGAACAAAATTTAAAAATAAAGTTTAGCATTAAATTAAAATAAAATGGCAGATCTCAACCAAATAATTCATTATCTTGAGGCCTTTAGCAAATCTTCTTACACAACATAACATAAGCAACTTAAATAAAACATTTGTTAAACATGTTTCAAATACTTGACTTGACAGCTTTTTTTTTTTTTACCATTTTCGTCCATTTCTTCTGATGAGTTATTATATTATTATACTGACATTACATGAAATGTATTTTTAATTCAGAAATGTTCTGGTGCACTGATGGTAAAATAATTGAATGGTTGTTAAATTTTAATGTTTATAAGTTTGCTACGTCTGTCTCTGAATCTCAAAATAAAAATCTGAATGGTTTATTTGTCTATTATTTTTATTGATGCTGCTGCTCCAGTTTCTAGTTTTCCTTCTAAATAAAAATAAATAAATAATTGTATGCTTGTTTCACACTGGACACATAATGTGCATGAAACAAGAATACAATTCAAAACTATTCATGACACCCTAAAGAAGATAAGGAAAATTGGTTAATTTCTAGTACACAGTACACATTTATGAAATGTGTTGTTCTTGCTTTATGTCTCAGCTCATTGCAAAGATTTCCTGACAAGAGAACGAGAGGCAATAAGTGGTGCAGAGCGTTCGACATTTGTCTTTGTGGTGGCGATGGTGATGGTGACGAGCTGTCATGCGTTGCCATGGAGAGAGACAGACACTCACAGCTCCTTTGCAGTAAAGGCGGATCTTCCCAGATGGGGTGCGCATGATGACTGACATCCTCTTCCTCGAACTGACAGAGAAAGAGGCAAAAGAAAGAGAAGAGTCAGAGAGAAAGAGCAGAGGCAAGTGAGAGAAATCACATTACAAGGTGTTACTGCTGCTACAGCAAATTATCACGTACTGTTTGAGCTAGCATATGTCTGCTGAAATTAGAAATCAAAGAGGTGGGTGACAAGATTTACACCTCCATCACAATTAATAAGTGCAAATCACAGGAGCTAAAGTCAGATGATGAAGTCTGATAGCACAGGATTTTATTTTTTTTACAAGTAACGCCACAGTTAATATTACAAAGAAGAAGCTAGTGTCAAAGTCGTACCTCGTAAACTCCAGCACATGAAGCAGCTTGTACTTCTCTTCTGTTCCGAGCTAAATCCAAAGAGAAAGACCAATTAACACAGTCCAAAGGGAGAAATCTCAACCTCAGCCGTCTTCTTCTCCGACAACTTATCTTAAGTAGCACAAGACAACCCTGCTACTCTGCTCCAATCGGCTCTGATTGCACTTTAAATGTGTTTATCAGTTGCCTGCACTGAGCTGATGCAGGGATGGTAGGAAGGTAAAATTCAATTAACTTCCTTAATTGTAGAGACTGCTAGGTACAAGACGGAGTGATTAAATAGATGCTGAGAGCTTTAGAGGGCCTAATAAAGGTTAAGAAAATGGACAAATGTCTTGGAGACAAGATGTTCTCAGCAGCGGAAAAAAATGTTTAAACGCCTCTGGCTTTTCAGCCTGATGCCTCTTTGAGAGCAATTATCAGGTTAGCCAATTAAGGAATAATAGGATAGGATCTGGAGAGGATGCATGCTGCCTCAGCTCAGGATATAACCATAGCCAAGGTGCCATTTGTTATTTCCCATTAGCCTGACCCACATGAATACAGAAGGCTGAGTTCTCTTTGGTATTATGCTTATTAGTTTTAGGTCAAGGTCTGTTTTGGAATATCTGAGCAAAACAACAAAATAGTGAATCAGTCACCAGATTTACAGCCTCAAGATATTCTATAGATCGCATATTCTACTATGGCTTCATGGACAAGAATAAATAGAATTTGCAGTGAGGTTAAAGAATAACTTCAAATCACTTCGAGCTGAGAGTTTGCTGAGAACATTCTTAAAATGTCTTGTCTGGGCAGTAAATAAGTACATGTGACAACCAGCATGTGATTATCATCACCAAATCTGAGCCGCTCTTGCGAAACAGGAAATTATAATTTCACCCAATCACGGAGGCAACATCCTATAAAACCTGATCTAACCTGCTGGACAAATATATCTCAACCTTAGGTCATCTCACCAAACCATGGTTGTGCCTTTTTTGATCTTTTAAGTCAGACAGATTGTGTACTGTCCTCCAGTTGTTGTCTATCTTCCTCATCTACAAATAATAATAGAGAAAAGGGACCATAATAAAACCAAAATGCGGTAAATTTGGTTACTCTTCCTCTGACTTTACTCTATACACTGTCAACCTGGTTCAGAGGAAGAAATGTGGAACTATTCCTTTAAAAATTACCATAAAACTACTACTGTCATGAGCAGCCACATGACCTATTGATGAGCCATGAATTTGGACAAAGTCTCTCCTCAACACACAGTCTCCAGCTTCTTGTTTAATTCACTAATAAGAAAAATATCCTCATTGTTAGTCTCACACATCAATCAGCTTTTTTTTCTTGTTTGAGGTTGTGCTACACGATCAAGGTGCGTGCATTAAGATGAAGTGAATCCATCCATCAGCACAACTGCTTCAACGCCTTTGATAAAACCTGTGTTGTCCAACTCACCATTTCCCCGATGACGCTGTCTGGGGTTCGACCAGAAAATATAAAGCCGAGGCTCTGTGCTGCTCTCACCAGAGCACCTTCATCTAGAAAGCAAACAGTAACCCACAATGTCACAGATAAACACACCAACACCAGTAGTAACACACATACTGAACCTGACATTCATGGTAAAACACTGGTTCATGTCGACACATTTCCAATGTGAGGGCAAAGAAGTGAGAGCTGTGGACCAGGTAACTTATGCTCGACTCGCATGAGGATGCTGCAGGGCGAGAAAAAAGCTCTCCGCTTGTTTTTTTACAGTTCACTTGTCGAGCTTTCTCTCTGCAGCAATTTCCCCGCTCTGCTTCAAACCCCAAAGCTCCATGAGGCCATGATTGTTTTACGCAATCAGGCAAAAAGAAAAAGGAATTTCACTTATTAAAAGCAAAAATGTGAGATGCAATGCAGCAGTGTTTCTTTATCGAAATGACTGACCTTGTTTATTAATCAATATGTATAAAAAGCCCAACTGTTCCTTTTTTAATCACAGCAAAAGACATCTGTCCTTGATGACAGACCTGTTCATTCGGCAATAATTTCGACATTTGGTCCATGGATCAGGCCATTAAGCATTGTGACATTTCCCTTCAAATTCAGGGAACAACTACATATGCTGTGTCTGAATGGTGAACAGTAAATTTCACCTCCTCTAATATGCTTTCGGGCGTTTTCTCGACTGACGAGAGATTCAGTCTATCACATTCAGCTGTGGATGTGATAGACTGAGGGATCACAGTGAGCATCACAGAATCAAAGTGACACACACCATGCAATTTGTATACAGGATATTTCCTTCTTTTATTTGATTACCAGCTCTCATGCACTGATGATTATATAAATGCGAAAATACTGGTGCCTGCAGGCTGTGGCGGTGTGTTCCATTCACTGAGGCACGGACGTCACCAGATGGAAAATTAAACATCTCAACAAAGGGAAATATCAAGGACACACAACATCACTGATGCAAAGCACCCAGACCAAGGTCTACCCAGAGCTGCAGAGAGGCAGCAACTGTAATTCAACACCCACAGTTCCAGACCTGCAGCTCTCGAGCGACTCGTGCCTCCTTTCACAGAGAACAGTAACAGGTGCTGCTGCTTGGACTGCAGTGGATGTTGGTTTGTGGATGAGTTTCTTCTAAATATCAGGATGAACTGTGTCCTGGCAAATTAGCAAACAGGATCTTGATTTGATTATCTTTTTATGTCAAGGATCGCTACGCCTTCAACAGAGAGCGTAATGTGTACAACTTGTACTAAATGTAAGGGTTCGAACTGTAGTGTCGGATTTGAGACAGAACCAACTTTCCACAATATCTAATCTCACGAATCAACACTTTTAGATTTAAGATGTTTATGGGCACATGTGTTCATGGAGGTGTGATTTACCTGGAGACGCAGCCTGGTAGGTGATTTTTCCTTCCGTGCACTCAGGGACTGCAGTGTGACAGATGGCCATCATGGACATGAACTCCAGGATGACAGAAGCTGTAGGCTACAGGAAGAGGAAAGGGCACTTTGACTTTTAATGTTCTTTAATAAAACATAAAAAAGCACATACCAAACAACCAGTGGGTGCCTAAAGTTACTGTAGAAAGGACGTTGCAAGGACATTGAATCAGCCTGCAGGAATCATTATATCTGTGCTGATAAACTGCACTTATGTGACACACACAAACAGAACAAAAACATCTATTCATGAATGTTCAGACTTATGTTCAAGACGTATTTCAGAACAGTTTACAAGGTTTCTTCCTAAAGTAAAACACAGTTTCATTTATATGATTTTAAACCACTGTCTCCACTTAGTGCTACAGGGAATGAAACCAGAGCAGAACTCTTTATTTTTATAAAAATGTTCAAACTAAACAAATGTTTTACTGTGAAGTTCAGGAGTGAATTTCACTTTGAAAAACTACTGACACACTAAAAATCTAAAATTACATTACATTTAATTTGGCTGACGCTCTTATCCAAAGCGATTAACAATAAGTGCATTCAACCATGAGGGTACAAAACCAGAACAGCAAGAATCATGTAAGTACATGATGTTAAATGTATAAATGATCTTGTTCTGAAAAAATAAAACAGGTCAAGTTTTCTACAAAAGCTTCTACAAAACTCTAACTACAACTGAATTCGGTTTCTGGATAACATGTGGCTTCAGTATGAAACCGTGAGATTCAGCCAGAATAATGGGTGCTGGTAATGAGCCAGTAGGATCCCACGGCCAGCTGCTGAAACATTTACTCATGTGTGTTCATACAACATAAACCGGCTAATGAAAAAAAGCTTTAACCTGCATACTGAGGGCATTCTACGTTAATGAGGGGAAGCGTATGACTAACTAGCCACGGGGTTCACTCGGACAGGCATCTGCTTAGGCTCCTGTCTGAGACTGCAGGACCACCAGCTCCTGTCTCCAGCTGAGGCAGAGATCAGCAGCCTGCAGGGCTGCGACAGGCCGGAATCACACAGTACAGCAGCAGTGTGGATTGCAGTCTGGATTGCTAACATTAAGGTCAACAGCAGACTAACTCACATCACTAACAGACACATTTAAAAGCAACCAATAATAAATACAGCTGCCTTGGGAAAAAAATCTCCAGTAACAGAATTTACAGTAGATTAAACTGTAACCAGTGCAACATGGTATGATGAATAATTGCCGACTGATGAGTTCTCACAAAAAATCACATGTATTTGACTTCCCTACCCAACAAAACCTGTACACACACAGTATTATTAGATTTGCTCTTCCAGTTGGCCATGGCTGCTCTGACGAGAGATCTTTAACAGGGAACAAAGGAGCTCGGAGAGAATGGTGCGGAGGGAGGGCGAAAGAGCTTCTCGTAAATTAAAGTACACAGAGTCTATTACAGTCCAGGTGGCTGAGACAGCCCCCTCTGCCTCCGAGCAGCATGCTAATCTGGCTGGGCTTGACAGGTATCCTCTGAAGGACGTACGTGTGTGTGTGTGTGTGTGTGTGTGTG